ATTATGTAAAACCTATGTAGTAATATTATGTAAATAAGGCTGAGGCTTATTTACATAAAATTAATTTACATAAAATTACTATGTGTAATTAGGCATGTTTCCTTAAGGCGCATACATGGCACCTTATGCCTGTCTCTACATACAATGAAAAGGCATCCCTATCTAAATATTCATCCTTACCCTAAACAAAAGGTACCCGTTCACCCTCTCTCAGGAGTAATGACCTTGGAAGCTATTCCCCATGATCTTATTTGCTGCAAATAAAGTTGACTTTGTGTGACAACTCCACCTGGTCTATCTGTGCCTCACCAAGGAGCAAACTCACACTGGCTCGGTGTAGAGAGCAAAATGCAGTCTCTCATGTCAAGCATGGCCCCGCATCAAGCAATGAGGCAAGCAGTTACGGTACAGCAGCTAGAAGATATCGAGATATCGGAGATAACGCCAGGACCAACGTCAACTGACACTCCTGAACTGATAACCAGCAGAACCAGAAGAGGTCTGTGGGGACCCAACACTGATGAAATCCCTTTAAAAAGAGAAGGACTTGGGCAGCAAGCTGTCAGACTCTTCAGACGTGAACCCTCTATGTTTGACCACTTAAAAAAGGCAACTGCCGCTGAAGGTTCTGCCCGATGGGTCTCCATTGACCAGAACCAAGAGCCTTCCCTGCTTCAACATCAGAAACAGCAAGCGCCGAGAACTGACCCGGACCAGACCGAGGCTTTATCTCAACTGCACCTCCAAAGACTGACTTCCCCATTGGCTCTTAACTTCCTGCACCTTCTGTTATCTTGTTTGTTGTGTGTTCTGTCCTGCTCTGTGTGCTGTACAATTCAGTTACAAGGTGGTGTGAGAAGCCAACTGTGTCAGTGCTGCCTACTAGGATATCAAGTAAGAGAAGACCGAGAAGTGATTACTGGATTGACAAGGTGGGGGTATTTGTGACTCTGATAAGCCTTTTCGGTGAAATGGCAGGGAAGAAAGCCTAACGAGGTGTGTTTATTTAACAAGAGAGAGTGGAACAACAGAATAAACACAGTCCTTGCTTCCCCCCACTCCAAACCTGTGGTACTAAAACAGTTATTTAAAAACCGAGTCTGGAGCTCATGTCACTAAGACTCCACTGTACTTTTTAATATTTTTGTATCTATATAAATACAATAAAGGAAAGATTTTTTTTAAAGATTTTATTTATTTGTCAGAGAGAGAGAGAACACAAGCAGTGAGGGACGCAGGCAGAGGGAGAAGCAGGCTCCCCTCTGAGCAAGGAGCCTGATGCAGGACTTGATCCCAGGAACCTAGGATCACGACCTGAGCCGAAGGCAGAGGCTCAGAGGTTAACTGGCTCAACCACCCAGGCATCCCAGGAAAGATAAAATTTTTATAACTACAAAGCCCCAAACACAAAAATTTACTTTTGAACAAATTTGAGAACATACAAAAAATGAAATATCAGAAGAGTAGAACTTGTGTGCCTCAGTTGTGTTGTGATATTAAATATAAAAATCTTAAAAGAATAAGATACACTTTAAAATTAAATGATCACAATACAGGAAAGAATAACTATAACACAGGAAAGAATACAGGAAAAACAATATTCTTTTATTGAATATTGTTTTACTACTATGAAAAGCAGTAGTTGTTTGCAAACCTAGCTACGCACCAGAATTCTTTGGGGGCTTGTTAAAAAATAGCTTTTTGGGACTTCTCTAAGACACAGAGTCTCAAACCTCACAGAATTCTGAGGAAACCAGTCAAAACTTTAGAATAACAATGAAGGAGGTCAGACTCAAGAGCTCTGCCACTTGCTTATCTCTAAGCAGGAAGTAGTGGGAAGCAGGAAAATCTGCTGGAGGAGACTCTACACTGGATTCCCCATTCTATTCAAGATGGCAGAGAAAACAATAAATTCTAAGTTAACAAATAATTTATTGGGCACCAGACATGACCTGGCGCTATGATAGGTACTGGAATATAACGCTTTATGATCTCTGCCCTCATGGAGCTTATGATCCAGTTGAGAAATTAAGACAATAAGCAAATAAATATGAAGTGACAAATTAATTTACTGAGATGCTAATTCATGTTTTCTTCTGTTATTATGGGAAAGCAAGGTGTTTTTTTCCTTGCTTTTTCCAAGGAATCTTACACAGTTAGGGATTCAAATCCTGAGAGCTCCTCTTTTGCAAATTCAAAAATAAAAGCTGTAAAAACCTGAAGACCATCCAGGATTATATTTGTGTGAGAGGAAATCCATCAGTTTCATATTTGCCAAAAACATATTAAAATCACATCAAAGACTCTATCAGCATTACTGACAGTAATGCAAATGATTCTTGTCCATAGAAATGAAAATTATGGAAGTGACTATGCAGCTGACTGATGACCTACATATATGTATGTTTTTTGAATTCTCCTTGAATCAGCTGTAACATCTTACTGATTCTATCATTTATTAGCGAGTGAAACAAAATCTTTGTCACATGTTTGTTTTATGTTTGTATGACTCATGTTTTTATCTTTAAAAAATTATTATTATTTTTTTAAAGATTTTATTTATTTATTTGACAGAGATCACAAGTAGGCAGAGAAGCAGGCAGAGAGAGAGAGAGAGGGAAGCAGGCTCCCTGCCAAGCAGAGAGCCTGATGCGGGACTCGATCCCAGGACCCTGAGATCATGACCTGAGCCGAAGGCAGCGGCTTAACCCACTGAGCCACCCAGGTGCCCCTAAAAAATTATTCTTAAACATGTTTTATTTACTTGTCTAAATCCTTTTTAGCTTTCTATTCTTTTTTTTAAAGATTTTATTTGACAGACAGAGATCACAAGGAGGCAGAGAGGCAGGCGGGGGTAGGGGGGGAAGCAGGCTCCCTGCTGAGCAGATTGCCCAATGTGGGACTCGATCCCAGGACCCTGAGATCGTGACCTGAGCTGAAGGCAGAGACTCAACCCATGGAGCCATCCAGGTGCCCCAGCTCTTTATTTTTTTAAGAGAAGAATTCCAGGGGCACCTGGGTGGCTCAGTAGGTTAAAGCCTCTGCCTTTGGCTCAGGTCATGTCCTGGGATCGAGCCCCGCATCAGGCTCTCTGCTCAGCAGGGAGCCTGCTTCTCTGCCTGCCTCTCTATCTGTGATCTCTGTCTGTCAAATAAATAAATAAAATCTTTAAGAGAAGAATTCCACATTAATAATTATATTCTAACATATACTTTATTAATGTGCAGTTTGTAGCAAAACGAAATCATTGCATTTAGGTTTTTTTTTTTTTATCAGTTTGTTAAGCACATAACTGTTAAAACATTTACCTTGGGTGCACCATCCTTTTGTATCCCTACATCATTAGTGGCAATTCCTTTTACACTGCTGTCTTCATGAAAAAGAACCTGAAATGAAAACATATTTGGTTATCACCTTAGGATTCATAACCACCCTAAAAAGAAGCAATGAACAGCCTTCGATATTTAAGAAACCGAGTATGTTCTCTGGGTTACAGAAATAATAGGCTTTAAAGTGTTTAGGCAAGAAAAGAGACATGTTTTAAAGATACTCCTTTCTAGAGTATAAAAGAACACAGCTCAAACAGCTGGAAATAAAAGAAATGCCACAACCTTGATGAAGAAGGAAAGGGGGGGG